ATTTACCGGATCCACTAGTGGTCATTATTTCTGCTCACCAAGAATATAGTGATTATTTGCAGCCATTTGCACAAAAACTTCTTTAAAATATACACAGACATTATTAAGCCATGCTCGATAATTATGAACACAGTCTAATATAACACAGTTTAATTATAACAGTCCAGTAGATAATTACAAGCTATAGTATGATATTTGGTATTTTTCAAAATGATAGATATTACTATCTGTAACTGTCACAAATCATCTTGTAAATCTCTGTTAGATCCATTGTAGATGTCTTGTAAAATTGGTTCTTGTGAAATACCCGGTACATCTTCTACATATGAGAGAATAAGCTAGGTCCCAAAAATAAATCTCTATCTTACGCAGAACGTGGCAGAATTCGTAATACAACTCGAAAAGGAATGATTCTATGTGTAGCGACGAAATTGTAGAACTGAACTTTATTATATAAGCCGTTTATAATGAAAATGAAGTAACTTCATTTCTTACTAAAACTTGATTTAGTATAGTTTTTAAGAATCTATATTCCCCCCATTCTAACCTTTTCGCTACGGCAGGTCCGTCCGCCGAAGTACCGTCACTGAACAGAACGCTCGTACCCAAAAGTCATGGCGTGGATGCCGCGTATACGCGGCGCCCGTACCCACAGGTCGTCGAGTGGATGCCGCATATATGTGGCGCTGGGCGCGAAAGGGTTAATAATGCGGCAGGTACAATTTTCTTAAGAGATGAATATGCTACACTTTCATTATGAAGAGCTCATATATATAGAATAAAACATTTGTTTTATACATCTACTGTTTTTTCAGCAATTTCTTAGAAGAAAGTGCAATCACAACAAATGTAAGTAATCAGATTTAGGACATAACTACAAATATATTTAATATTGTAAAACGTTTACATTATGCCAGCAGCTATATTTTACAATAAATGTATCTTGTATCGTTGAAAGAAGTAAAAAAAGGAAAAAAAAACATTTTCTTTGCAAAATTTTCAAATACCTACATGACCACATTCTTAAATTCCCAAATCCTTGCATCTCCAGATCCTTACATTCCCACATTAGCTATATTGCCAACTCTCTACATCTCCAAATCCCTATATCCCTAAATACCTACATTTCCAAATTGTTATATTCCCGAATCCCTATATCGATAATTCTCTATATTCCCAAATCCCTACATCCTCAAATGCCTACATTTCCGAATCCTTACATTTCCGAATCCTTACATTCCCAAATCCCTATGTCCACAAACTTCTAGATTCCCAAATTCCAAAATCCTAAAAATTTCAAAATTCTCAAATGCCTAGATTCCAAATCGCTAAATTCACACATCGCTGGATTGCCACCTTCCGAAGTCCCCAAATCCTAGACTTCCTTACCTCCAAATTCTGAAATTTTCAAAAATCCTTAAAAGAAAATGGTTACTTTCCTTTTTTGCCTTCGTTCTCTAGCGATATACCTGATACTTAACAACACAAGAAACGCAAAAATTCAACCATGCACTGACAAGGCTTCTGACGCCAGTGGCATAATGTGGACGCTCCCTTACAAACATTGCACCTTTGAACCAACGTTTAACCAGTTAACTGTGGCGATCTTTTTGCAAAGCTCGCACCAGTGTGTCGCGATTATCAAGCGATGATGAGTTAGCTCTCAAGAATTTATGACCCATCTCAAATCATTTACACTTTTTATTTATTTATTTCATTTTGTATTGACCTCTAAACATTTTAAACATATTACAATTTACGAATATAATTTAGTTTTCGCCAAAATTACAATTTAAATATCAAATTGTGACAAAATTTTACGCATGACGGATATAGTCGTCATGACACAAAATTCTGCCACATCTTCATGACAGATATAGTCGTCAAACACACTTAACTGGTTAAAAAGCAACTATTGAAGTAGCGTCATCGGTGCAGAACATATAATTTATACATTCTGTTCTAAATACGGATAAATAGGAAAGAACTTAAAAACATCCAACTACATTTGATTATTTCTGAGCAATAAAACACTCTGTAGAAAGACTTTAAGTTTCATACTACAAATCATACCGTAAATCACATAGAAATGACGGCATTTTTTAATTCGCGGTGTTTTAAATTTAAAGATTGTCAAATTTCTTCAATTTCTCTATTTTCAAATATGAAAATCTCCAAACTGTCCAAGCCTCCACAATTCCCAAATCTCCAAATTAACAAACATCCAAATCCCTAAATCATCAAACATCCAAGTCCCTAAATCCGATTCTCTAAATTCAGTTATACGCTTTCCAAAATACTTAAATCCTTCATATTTGAAAATATACAATGAAGCTTCCTACAAAGGCCTCTAAAAATATCTGAACTATTAGGTTAGGTTAGATTAGGACACTGGAGTTACCTACAAAGGCCACTGAAAATATTTGAACTGTTAAGAGCCATTAAAGATCTTAATCCGGCACTGCTAAAAGCTCGCAGTACAATGGGACGATCTGAACCGAGAAATTCATGCGAATTTACGGTATCCAAGAAAATATCGGAAGAAGGAGATTGATTTATATGCGGCTTCACTTTCCCGGAAACTGTTAAGCATGATCTTGGCGTTCGACGCTCGATTATACTCGGCTGATCATTGATACTTAATATTCACGAGTGAATCGTACTGTTTCTACGTCGTAATTTACATTTCGCTGGCGTAACCCGAGATCATTTGTAAGTATCTTGCGACATCGAAGACATCCGAGTACGCTGGCTCTACTGATTCACTGAAGAAAACGTAACAATTTGCTCGACAGACATTATCATTTAATATCTTAACTCTAGGTTTACGGAACATATCAAAATTCAGATCTCTTATTTTACATTTCGCAAATTATTAAAATATCAAAATAAACGTTGTCTTTGTCGAGATGAATAATAGTATGACCTCTCACCTTATGACTTATTTGTCAGATGCGTAAGTCAAAACTAACTAATCACAGCTACAATATTGAAACAGAGAGAATGGAAATGTTATGTCAATTTTGTATTCAACAATCTTTGACTATCCAAATTATAATTGAAATTAAACTCCAAAAAGTGTATTAAAAATTCGAGTAAGATTGAGAGATGATATTGCAAGGCAAGGGGATAAATTTTATCTTTCTTCTCCTGCATATTTATTGTTGCACTTTATTTTCAATGAAGAAATCATTGCTTTGCATATCTAAGAACAATGAAATTTCAGAAGTTTGGAATTAGGAGACTTATTAAGTGTAGAAATTTCGGAATTCGAGAAACCTCAAATTTGAAAAGTTATTAAATTACAATATTAAAACTTGGAAATTTATTTCACTTGCAAATATGAGAACTTGGAAATTTAAAACCTAGAAACCTAAGAATTTGAAAGGTTGGAAATTAGTAATTTGGAGATTTAACAATCTATTAATTTTTTAACTTAGGTATTTGAAATTTTGTTTATCTAAAAATTTGAAAACGTTAAAATATGGAAATTTAAGGATTTAAAATTTTGGAATTTTAAAATTTGGAAATTTAGAAATTTGGAAATTTGGTAATTTGGTAATTTGGAAATTTTTAAATTTAGTAATTTGGAGATTTAATGATTTAGAAATTTGGAAACTTGGAAACTTGGAAATTTAGAAATTCGGAAATTTGGTAATTTGGTAATTTGGAAATTTTTAAATTTAATAATTTGGAAATTTGGAAACTTGGAAATTCGTACCTACAAAAATGAAAATTTACGACTATAGAAACTTGAAAATTTAGGCAAAATTAGAAAACTTGATTCAAGAATTTGTAAATTTCCAAAGCTACTGGAGATCTGTAAATAGGAATATGTATCAACTTGAGAACCAAACAAATTTGAAAACTGTAACATCGAAGTGTATGATCCTGAAACGGACGAAACAGAAAATATAATTGAATAATAAACCTTGCGAATACGCATTTCGAAATGTCCTGTTTAGACGGAGCCCTGCATAGCATCCAATTTATTTGGCCGCGTTCTTTTCACACGATAGCAGGAAGCGCGGATTGCCGGTTAAATCGTAAAATTTAATTAATCGGCCGGTGGTTGGCCGTGTACCAGGTTCCCAGCAGCTTTTACCGAACTTCTGGCCTCTATCCAGAATTAATGCCCGTACCGGCACGATATTCCTTCCCTCTTTATAGCAAGAACTGAGCCTTCGCTATATACGTCCCTGAGTATATACTATCGTACTCTAGTCGAACTTATGCACATATACATATACTATGTTCTACGCGAAATATCTAGAGCCTAGCTAATCTTCGCAAGTTTCTCTCTAGTCCAAGTATTAGTAAATCATACCTTTGATCTCCTTTCCTCCGGTTGATTTATGGAACGTTTACCTACTGATATTAAGTGATTTCTTAGCTTACAGCCTTTCTTCAAGCATTCTCTTTGTAAGTGAAACATTTTTTTGGTGCTTAAGGTAATTCTAATAGAATTTATACTTCTTCGGGATTCGAAATACTTTCACATTGCACAGTTACAATAATTTTACAATTACCCGTTGTATTATATTGTACTATTCTGTATTATAGATGTATATGACGCCACATCTTATTTTCCTAACTTTGACTGAAAATTGTGCTGTACAAACATGATGAGTGTGTAATATGTACGGGAATATCTTTTCAATATTACTTATTTTAATATAAAGAAAGAATCATATTTTAGACAAAATATACGTTTTACTTGTGTAACCGCTTGGGCAAATTGAAAATAATTTTTTTCAAATATTCTAAAGAAACAGAAAGCCCCTTCTCTTTGAGTCCAGTTTGTAATTTAACTTTTGAATTTGTTAGTGTTTTTCTAGTTCTTTAATCCAGTTCACCCCATAAATTTTTTATTGGATTCAAGTCTGGGAATTGTGGAGGTGATGTAAACTTTTTGGACAATAATATAATAAATCCTGTACTATTCGAGCTGTGTGTTTTGGATCATTATCCGTATAAAATTTGAAAATACTTTGCATATATCAATTCTTATCTAAAATATCATCAGGGAACACCAATTCAGAAAAGCCTGCACTGAAAATGCACCCCCATGCAGCACCATCTCTGTGTCTTAAAGTAGATTTCAGATTTTTTATCTTTACAAATTTATTTACTCTTTGCCACACTATGCTTTTCCTATCCGTATCAAAAGCACAATATTTACCCTCGTGAGCAAAAATAGCATACTTCCACCAATCTTGAGACCTTTCAACAAATCATCTGGGGAAAATCAATAGTGTTAATATACGGTTTTATTTTCGTGATTCGATCATTGTACCCATTATTTCTCATTATTCTACGCAATGACTCAGCACTGCTTTTCTTTCTACTTTCACGATAAACATCTGAAGCTAATTGCACAGCACTACAATGCAGGTTTTTTAACTCTTCGCATTAATTTTGTTCTTACTCTTCTATTGAGAATTCGAATTTCTTGCTATTTACATTCGATTCGATCTTTTTTCTTATAGCTTTTAACAATGTTAACAATAATACAATTTCAATGTTGTTCATTGCGTATCATATGGTGTATTACAGTTACGAACACATAATATAAAACTCGTAAAATTACAGTGACGTATAATAGGAAATCAAGGAAAGTATGGAGTCATTTCACACGGAAAGTACATATATACTTTCATCACATTATAGGAAATGACGTTAACGTTTGCAAACATGTCGGACATACGACATCACAGACATTTCAGCGACCACAAAAAGAGCGGGAAAAGTATCTAATGTCTGGACCCTGATGTTTGGTTAGTGGCAGGTAAAAGGAGGTCCAAATTCAAGAACAAGTCCGTGAACGTGAGAGGAAACAAGCTGGAATTTTGTAGGTCACCGAGAAAATGGGAAGAGAAAGAGAGAGGAAAGCCGTCGACGTCGTAAAACAAAGGATCTGGTCTGACCTGACTAGCTTAGTAATTGCCTGCCTAGATTCTCGGTTTTCTCTCTTGATCTTTGTCTTTGGTCCATTTCCAGCATCCTCCTCAATTAAGCTTTGTGCCATAAATGAGAGGTATTGAAGCGTAACAACTCATCTTCTTTGATAAAAGACCACGATTGTTGTATCAACATTCTAACTTAGTTATATTAAAAATGCACTGAACCAAATGAAATTGCTGTTGGAAATTCTGGTTAATGAACTAATGAAAACGAGAAATTTCGTTTTCATTGTGAGGTGCATCAAGATGTACGTAGTATGTACAATGCGACATAGGTTTACATTAAGTAATAACAAATAAGATATTTGAATACTTTTAAATTGTACAATTTTTTAATTTTTAAATCTTCAAATTTTTCAATGTTGGTATTTCTTAAATTCTTATATATTCAAATTCTCAAAGGAATTTTTAAATCACTACATTTCCAAACTACACCTCTTCAAACGCTAAGATTTTCAAATTTGTACACATCCACATTTTTTAAATTTTTCCTTTCACAATCCAAACTTCCAAGTCTCTAAATTCTCAGATTTCAAAATTTAAAAATCCCTAGATCTCAAAATCCCCAAATTCTCAGATTTCAAAACTCTGAAATCTTCAGATCTTAAAATCCACGAATTTCTCAATTTTCAAACTCTTAAATTTACATATTCATAACTTTCTGAATCCCTAAATTTTCAGATGTCCAAATTCCTCAATATACAAATATCAAAATTTTCAAATCCTCAAATTTCGAAATATTCAAATCCTGTATTTACAGATGTAAATTTGCAAATTATTAAGTGACGAAAAGTACTAAATTATTATTGAGTAAGTTCCAAACTACTTTTTAACCCACCTTATGCATCATAATCTTTTATCTTCATTTTAAGATAAATTTTATTATAAATTTTTAAGACTAATTTTATCTTTTATCTTAATTGAAACGGCAAATTCTCTTAGCTATCCAATATTTATGCCTCGCTTTATTAAAACATTGAACAAATTATATTACTATAAAATACGCCTGATATAATGAAACAAAGATATTTTAATTATACTACAAAAGTAATTAAGATTAAATAATGTGTATTGTCCATATTAAAATTTCAACTTTGTTCTGTTAAAAGTTCTCTATACAGATGAATTTCTATGGAAATTTTCATTCCATTACAGAAGTACATCAAGCTAGTTGGTTTAAATTATATGTACTTGTTACTTTAACATTTCAAGCTTGCATTAAAATTTCTACCAAACAGAGGAAACTCCGTCTAAAAACACCTACCGTAATAAAGTGAAAACGTTAAACTTTATCTCGTCGCAAGGTATATTAAATTACACGGTTTAAATGATATAAGATTGCTACTATTTTCTATGAAATTTGTTGCTCCTCTCAAAATGTCAGTAAGAAAATTATATTATATTCGAAACTACTGAAACTTAATGTCTCTAATTGCTTCAGCGCTTTTTTCTCAAGAGCAAAATACAAATTGTACAGTACATAAATTGAAAGAGCATAACTCCATTGTTTTAGTGGATCTATACGACCCAAAACAAAAATTGCAATTCCATAAGTCTTGTGCTATACAATTTGTGCAGTGTCTGAAACAGTGCATTCTAAATTGGAAACGGTAGTACATTAGCACGATGAGATTGTAGCATAGTGGTATAGTAAGATAGTAGTATAGTAGTTCGATAAGATGGTATAGCAATGTAGTGAAATAGTAATACAGTAGCACAGCAAAATAGTAAAACAATAATATAGCAGATTAGTGAGATAAGAGCATAAAAATAAAGTGAAACAGTAGTGTAGTAGTGTAGTATAGTAAAATCATAAAGTAATACAATATTAAAACAACCAAATAATACAGTAGTATAATTGTACAGAAAAATGAGTGAAATACTAGCGATACAATTAAATATTAAAGCAATAATACAATACAGCGTGTCACTTTATATGCTCTCGTACACCGAAACAGCGAAATAAAATAATTAATAATAAAATATCCCATAATTTACCATTCGCGATGCATATAACTCATAATAGCGCACTGTGAAAATCTTACAAAGAAAAATGTACTTAAAGTCTACCCGAACAAGATTTTTCCATTTTGCACCCCCTTCTCGGATGAAATAAGGTGATGGAACTTGCTGTGAAATGTTTTTTTCTTGCCATCGAATAGCATATTGGATGTTTCATTTAGCTTAAGGACATTTTTGACCATAGTATTCAGCCACACCCTTTAACACTTTACTCGAAAATTATCGGTTGAAAAGTATCGGTTTCCAAAAATTTCTCCATAACGCATAAATCCAAACTCGTTCATTATTGCAGTAAACTGGAAGCACGGAGATCGCGTGTATCCAGGGGCGTAAACCGCCTCTTCCAACCGCTTTTTAAGGAAAAAGTCACCGACCGCTTAACGATTCGCAAACGGGAGGATCTTACGGCAGTCCTGGTCGTCGAACAATTCTCACACAGCTTGTTCCAACGTCGTCCCAATAAACTGTACGATGCACACCGTTCACCATCGACCGGCATTATACGCCATAGAGGAGGTCCCTCATTGTGAACGGGTGTTTATGGCTAGCTTTTATGTTCGTCAACCGCGAACGTGCTCAAAGCACGTTTTTATTGTCGGGCATTGATGCGTTTAGACTTTCTTTTTCTTCCTCGTAGCAACCTAACATTACATTAACAGTCGTTCAGAACTCGCCGCTCCGATGCTCTTCAGATTCATCTATTTATCGAGTCCTTATGATTGCGTGCAGAAAAGTGCGTAGCACATGGATGATTTTTTACAACCATTTCTCATTCGAATGATGACATTTTTTGTTCAGTTAGATTAACGTAGATAAAGATGGATATAGTGCTATCATTCGGATCTAATAGTTGGGTTACTTTACTGTATTGAATTAAATTTAATTACATTACGTTAAACTTAGATTTGTTTAAGGTTGTATTAGGTCAGCATTAGATATGATTCGACTTAAATTAGTTTAGAGTTAGATTAAACTAGGATAGAACTAAGTTAAGGTTAGTTCAGGTTAGGATTAAATTTGACTAGAGTGAGAATTGATTATATTAAATCAGGGTTAAAGTTAGATTTGGTTGGAATTAAATTAGATTCGTGTCAGATTAAATTAGAATTAAGCTAAGTTAAGGTTCGAAATTAAATTAGATTCGTGTTAGGTTAGATTAGAATTAAAGTTGAAGTGAGGTTATAACCTAACCTTACATTATTTATTTGGTGTTCAATTAGGTTTAGGTTAAGTAAGATTAAACGCAGATTAAGCTAATAATAAATTAGATTCGTGTTAGATAGATTAGAATTAAATTAAGTTCACATTAGATTACGTTATGGTTGGATTAGGTTAGGAGTAGATTAGATTGAAGTTGGGTAAGGTTAGGCTTAAATGGCGGACGAAGGTGCCAGGGGGGCACAAGTCGGATCTTCCACTTCCTCGTGGTGTCTGCTGGGACGGAAGCACTCTATGCCTTTTGGCAGTACTTCGGTGCTGCCCAAGGGCGAGGGCCTCTGTGCTGACGGGAGAGCGGCGAAGTATGCGTGTGTGTGTGAATGGGAGTGTCGCACTGGCGTAAGAACTTGTTCGATGAAGCGCGAGGCCATACCGACGAAGTCTTCGGACTTCGGCAGGTGCAACCATATCGGACGGGCTCGGGCTGAGAACGGGGGACAACGTTGGTGTTGAATACTGCGTGAAAGAGCCTTGATCGACCTGTCATGGATATTTCCCGCGAGACTAGCCAAGGGAGGAGTAGTAGCCTCCCAACCGGGTCTACGTGTGTCGACGGATATCGACCGCTTCTGGTTAAGATGGCCAAACCGTAAGTCCTACATGATAGGCAAAGAGGTCCTGACCCAGCATGTCGGGGGAAGGAGGCGCATGTAGGTGACTGGAGCCAATCCGGGAGTTAAAGTGGCAGTGTTCGGGCGGGGGAATGGGGAATCCAGGTTGGTTGCTGGTTCCCCATACCCGGAGACAGGGAGGGATACAAAGTCCTGACACGTCTAGCCTGAAGTTTGAATCAGGCGCTGGTTCGGATCCGGCGTTGCTCACTCAATAGGAGTGACGGGAAAAACATTTAGCATCATATATGGCGCAGGCCTATCCCGTAATATTTTCAAATAGAGTCGGCAGATGTCAATAGGATAGACCGTCCGACAAACCGCTTATCGGCTTTAACATCTTTTAGCTAGGGATGTTACAGACCGGGGGAAGATTCCGCACTGTAGTGCGGGTGCCATGATGGCCGAACCCGAAGAACATACTCCTTCTACAATGGCTGAAATTGAAAATAAATATAAAAATCCCGCTAACGAGATGGATGAGGAGGAAGAGGCAGGCTCTGCGGCGGAGTTGGGTTCCTCCCCGCGAAAAGTGGACAAGAGTCCGAAAGGAGCATGAAGGAGGCAGCCAGCGATGGGCCGCAATAAGCCGACCATCCCAGAAAACAAGAGAGTCACTCGGAGGATCAGAGTGACGCTCGAGAAGACGGAGAAGACGGCCGTTAGGAGGGACGCCTTCCTTACCAACGTCACCGGGTCTCCCAACAAAACCCTGGTGACAAGAAAATCTACACCGCGTAAGGCGACGGGCGGCGCATCTCGGGGACTTACGGAAGGGTTCCTGAGCGCTGCGCCCTCCGCGGAACAGATGCCCGCTGCGCGTTCCGTTTCGTGCGGTGAGATGCCGGCCGTGTGCGGTGCGGTGGCCGGGCCGCAGACCTGCGCCGGGAGGATTACGGTGTCC